CCCCCTGTACTGCCTTCCCGCTGCCGACCGCCCAGTCGACCTCATTCCTCCCCTGGGCAGGATTGTCGTCGGGGGTCGCTCGTCGATCGCCCAAGGCCCCCCCCCAATAGGAGCCCAGACAGCAGCAGGTGCTTCTCTAGTAGCGCTTGATTGGAAAAGTTCCTGCGAGTGGAGGGGGAGGAGAGGGAGGAGGAGGGGGAGGAGGAGGAGGAGGAGGAGGAGGCGAGGAGGAGGAGGAGGAGGAGGGGAGGAGAGGAGGAGAGGAGGAGGAGGGAGGAGGGGAGGAGGAGGAGGTGAGGAGGAGGAGGAGGAGGAGGAGGAGGGGGGGGAGGAGGAGGAGGAGGAGGAGGAGGGAGGAGGAGAAAGGGGGAGGAGGAGGAGGAGGAGGAGGAGGAGGAGGAGGAGGAGGAGGAGGAGGACGGAGGAGGAGGAGGAGGCGAGGAGGAGGAGGAGGAGGAGGAGGAGAGGAGGAGGAGGAGGAGGAGGAAGGAGGAGGAGGAGGAGGAGGAGGAGGCGGAGGAGGAGGCGAGGGGGGGAGGAGGAGGAGGATGAGCATGAGGATGAGGATGAGGAGGAGGAAGAGGAGGAGGAGGAGGAGGAGGAGGGAGGAGAAGGGGGAGGAGGACAGGAGGAGGAGGAGGAGGTGGAGGAGGAGGAGGAGGAGGAGGTGGAGGAGGAGGAGGAGGAGGAGGAGGTGGAAGGTGAGGAGGAGGAGGTGGAGGAGGCGGAGGAGGAGGCGGAGGAGGAGGAGAAGGATGAGGAGGAGGACGGGGAGGAGGAGGAGGAGGAGGAGGAGGAGGAGGAGGAGGAGGAGGAGGAGGACACGCACACGGCTGATGGGGTGTTCGAAGTCCGCCGTGAAAGAGCACGGCCGACTATGGAGGACTTGGTGCCTCCTCACCTCTGGCCTTGGCTTGCTCTTCGAGAGCCAATCGGGCCAGAGGTATTCCTGGGGTCGCATAAACGATCGGGGACGATTTAGAGCCCTTCGGATCACGACCCTCCTGGACGCGGGCAAGCTGAGTGGCCGCGCCTGGGTGATTCACTCGAGTGCCGCACACTCCAGTGAGCCCTCGACCCAACCCTTCCGAGCAGGATCCACACTTATGGCAAACCTAGCTACTCGTGGGATGATCAAAGTGCTCATAATAATACAAATTATTGCCTTTATTGTCATGCACGAGATCAGACAACTCCTTACAGTGACCAGGGCAATTCTTGGCCGCAAAAGCTATCCTATGTTTCATCGCTTTTGTCTGCACTCGACACAGAATGCAGCGCCAGCATCCTGATATTAGAGGTTCCACGCGTGAAACTTCCTGGGCTCCCTGGGAACCTCGTGGGGCTCCGGAGGAGGAGGGGGAGCCTCGACCGACGAGGACGGCGACCACGACGTCAGGGCAGAGGCAGCAACCGTGGAGAGAGAAAGGCTCTTCTCTGGGGCGGCCAAAGCTTTGCTTTTCCCGGGGGCGATCGCGGGCCACTCTCCCGGATCCTGAGCTACATACTTGATATATTTGATCAGAAACTTCCGATCATCTGCAAAGTTACTTTTCTCTGCTTCGCTTGGCTGAACACCCTTGTGCGCAGCAGCCTTGGCCAAACGGTCTGCAGCATCATTACCTTCCGCCAGTCGGCGGGCTTCGCTACCTGCGGGTAGGACTTGTGTGTCCTGGTGGGTTTTCACCTTTTGGAGCCTCTGCCCCAAAGACAAGAGCCCCCTGCCAGCCAGGACCTCAAACCCAGCCCGCAGATTGCGACGGGGGTACTCGCTACCTTGGTGCGGAAGCAGACCTCCGTTGCAGTCAGAATGAATAACTTCAATGTCCCGGGACATCAAACTGGCAGCGACTGCCGCCAGATGCTCCGCGGCTCCAGAGGTTTGGGAAAACATCTTGCTAACGCGGCCGCTGAAATGGGGAAACACTTCCGCGAAACTTGCGGCATTGAGCACATACTGGCCGTAGTTTGTACAACTACCGTCCACAAACACTTCCCCTTCGCTGAAGGCCTCTTGAGGGGTGAGACCAGTCTGAGCACACCAGAACTCCCCGAATTCAGACCCAGTGCCTGGCGGAGGCTCTCCTCGGAACCCAGGGGCCAGCTGGAACCCGAGGTGGCGGGGCGGGGCCTGGGGCGGGTGCTCTCTGAAACGCAGCAGCCCTGCATCCAAGAAGCGAGTGGCTCTCAGTGGTTCCGTCTTCGGGCAGTGCAACAGTCTGTGGCCGAGATTGCCCGAGGGATAGCCACACTCGCAATCATTTTGGGACATCCTCTCCTGCTGCTTTGGCTCTCTCCATCGTCCACATACTCCGGGTGAGGAAGGCGAGGGGCGTACCATCCTGGTGACCAAGGGGGTCCGAAAAGAGAGAGCGCTACGCGCAGCAGCAACATCTAACTGAGCGTTCGGGTGGCCGAGCTTCAAACGGCCGCCTTCAGACTCTTGGACACCCCCCTCTTGGCCGCTCCCGAGTGGGGGTCTGGGGGGCCTGGGGAAAGGTGACGGTCAACGGGGGGAGGGGGGCGGGAAATGGGGGGGGGGGGATGAGCAGGGGAGAGCCTCTTGGCATCGCTCGGACGTGTGCATGTTCTTCCTTCGGCGAGGACCATCCAGGAGCAGCCTCGATCCTTTGGCGAAGAAAAACCGCGCACGAAACCGACAAAGAAAGCACAGGGAAGGGACGTCCGAGCGATGGCGAGGGCCTCCGTGCCGCTGGGCTGCCCCTCCGCGGCCCCCGCGCGCTGGCGCTGCCCTGCGCGCTGGAGAGCCCTCCGCGCTGCCAACGGGGCCGGCCTGTGGCGCGGGGCGGCGGCGGCGGCCCCTCCCTGGCGCTGCACGGGCGGATCGCATGCGCCGGGCGGGCCCGCGGCACGTCGGCCCGCGCGCCTTTTTCCGAAAGTGCGCCAGTGGATCTCCCCCTGCATACACCAAACGGTGGGAGGGGGGGGGGGGGGCAGAACCCCGCCCCCTTCGGGGGGGGAAAGGGTGGAAGGGGGGGGGGGTCCCCGACGACGGATCGAGGAAGGGGGGGGGGGGGGGGGCGCCCTTGGGGTTACCCCCCCCTCCTTGGGGTTATCCGTGGCACGTCGACCCACGCTTACCAGCCTCGAACTTATCCCTATCCTTAAGATTGACACGCTAAAAGGCGATGACAATCTTAGGGGCTCGCCCTCAAAAGATAAGGGAACCCCTAAGGTCGCCATCGTGATGAGGCGATGCCCAGCCCAGGGATAGGGATATGTTCCAAGCTGGTAAACCTTGTCGCAGCGTGGGGGGGGGCGCGGTGGCGGGCGGCGGCCGCCGGGGGTGGCCCAGCGCTCGGGGGCGGAAAAGAGGGGGGTGATGACTACAGTCGGGGCCCCGAAGAAGGAACCCTTTCCGTTGGGGAGGGGCTCGGTGTTCCTTGCTTGTTCTGCAGTGTACCTTCGGTTCTCCTGAGGTTTCCCATGGGAAATCGAAGTTCAACTTATGGGAGAAAAGGGGCCTCGTTCCTTATTTAGGGTTCCTTAGGTCAACGCCCCGACTGTAGGGGGGGATATCATGGCGGGGGCCATGATATTTCGTGAGATGTCATGGCGCCTCTTCTTATTTCCTTACGTCCCTGCCCCCCCCGCTGGGCCGCGCACGTGCCGCCGGTCATGATGTACCCTCCCCTCTTGGACACCCCCCTCTTGGCCGCTCCCGAAGCGCGCTCGGCAGTCTGCGTGGGCAGGGGTGGCCAGGCAAAACCACGGTGAGCATCGGGTGCACCTCAGAGGGCTGTGAGGACTCGGGCGGGGACATCCTGGGCGGGGCCAGAGATGCTCCCGGAGATCCGGGAACCCCTCTCCTCCTTGTCGGCTCGCCCCGTGGCCCTTCCTGCCCGCGCACGTGCTTCGGGCGAGCGATTGCCGACCTGTCGCTTCAGGGATCCCCGTCTTGGACGCGACGAAGTAATGCGTAGTCGAGATCATAGCTTCGGATGCAATTCCTGGGAGGTTAGATTCTGACTTTGCCCTGGTCCGAAATCCAGCTTACCCCGGCTTAGTCCCGCTTAATCCGGTTCAGTCCCGCTTAATCCCGCTTAATCCGGCTTTATCCTGCTTAGTCCGAGGTCCATTCCAGCGTAACAGCTCCCAAATGGGGCTTAATCCTCCTTTTCCGACGAAAACCTCCCAGTAGTTGCCTCCGAACATAGCACAAGCAACAGCTGCACAAGCTTACGCTGTCGGAGGTCCGCGCGGCCCAGCGCCTCCCTCCGGCCTGCGGGCAGCAGCCCCCGACCCCGGCAGAAAAGGGGGCACGAACCCCCCTCTCTGGCCCCTCTCCCGAGCCCCGATCGAGGCCTTGCTGCTCGGAATCGCCTCCAGCGCGATCAACCTTACTCTGACCTCCTCCTCCTCCTCCTCCTCCTCCTCCTCCTCCTCCTCCTCCTCCTCCTCCTCCTCCTCCTCCTCCTCCTCCCTCTCCTCCTCCTCCCCCTTCCCTTCCGTAGCCATTTTGGCTCAAGAGCTACCGAGCTTGCCCTGGCTCCTGGTGGCTGCGCGCGCCCGCCGTCGCGCGGGATCCGTCGGGATGATGTCGCCTGCTGCTTCATAGTGGTCTGCTCTCTCTTCGTGATCCTCTCCCACCTGTGCGTGGGCGCTGCTGCGGGCAGTTCTTCGATGCCGAGCTGTCGTTCCTGGGCGGCCGCCTCTGCTGCGGGGGCCCTGCTCACTGGAGCTCAACGTCGCCGCCGCGAGCGGGATTCTTGGTACGCGACTTCCCATAGTGGGCCTGGGAAGGCTTTTGTTGAAGTGGATGTGGCTGACAGGGCTGATGTGAAGCGCATGGCCCAAGGTAAGGCCATTCATCGTATTCTCGATACTGAGGGCCTGATTTATGGGATCGGATTGCCCCAGCTGCTTCTGGCAAGCTTGCTGCACATCGTGCGCTCCGACGAGGTGTGCCCTCCCCTGACGGCCATGCGGCCGCGCGGGCGGCGCTGGAGCTGGCGGACGCCGCCAAGCATCGTCACCAGGCCCTTCATGGATCTGGTGTGCGTCGTGATGTGGACCACGCTGGACATCATGACCGTTCTGGTCGGCAGGACCCCGATGGAGTTCAAGTTCGCCCTGGCCGTAGTGACCATGCTGCTGCTTCTCGCCCTCGCTGGGCAGATGTACCTTCTGACGATGACGACGATGTTGCAGTGCACGACTGACCTCCGCCTCGAGCGGGAGACCCGTCTCTCTTCAGCACGACGGCGTGCCCCTCCAGCAATTGCTTACAACCTGGGGCGGCGATGCAGACGAGTGACCTTCTCTTCTCGTACGATGAACGAGCTCATCTGTATGTTGGCTACGACGCTCTTCGCCTACAGCTGGACACCATTCGATATGGTTCAGACATCGGAGTCCAACGTGTACTTCGACAGTGACTATTTCCTGGATGACCTCGGCTTCGAGACCGAGCTCTGCATCTTCGAGGAGCGAGCCCGGCCCCCTGCTGGCGGTGATGCTGGTGGTAATGCTGTTCCCCATGCCGCTGGTGATCTGCCTGCAGAGCTAGCTAGTGCCGACGCGGCCGCCGCTGCTCGTGGCGTTCGTCCTCCGCTTCTTTGTGATCCTGTTGCGGATCGGGTCGATGGTCCCCAAGATGCCGTTCACGATCGTGATCGCTACGATGCTGCTCACCCTGTTCGTGCTGCTGCCGCTGGTCGCCCATTGCCCGCAGTTCGGGCTGGAGCGGATGACGATGCTGGCGTTGGTGCTCTCCCTGCTGCTGCTGCCGCTTGTGCGGATAGCCGCCTTGGAGATGCAGTTCAGGGCTCAGGTACTGGTGTGCCGCCCCCTGCCGAAGCCCAACCGCATCCTGGTGGTCCTGTCAAGGCTCGGGACTTCTTCTGCTTGAAGGTGTTGGACGTTGGCCCTCGTGTGGCCTGGCGCCCCGCGTGCCGCTTCTTCCCTCGCTGCAGGGGCGGCGACGCTTGCTGGTACTCTCACCTCGTGGACGTCTCGTTCGAAGCGGCCCCGAAGGAACACATTCGGGTTGCTGCTGTATCCCCAGCTTTGTCATCTGCGCTGCCCCTGTCGCCCTTTCTGTGGCAGGCGCGTGCTGACGGATGCCATGCGGTTGAGATCTTCGCGATGCTGGACTCTGATGAACGCGCAGCTGCCGCTCGGGATGCATCCTCATCAATTCCGCCCTATACGGCCTGTTCGGCCCCAGCGGCGACGACTTCAGTCACCAAGGTGCCTTCGACAAGTGGCACTGCGACCCCTTTCAGCTCCGTCGGCGCACTGTGACCATCAACCCCCGTCTTGGTCAGCGTCCTGCCGCTCATCCTGCTCGCGCTGCTCACGCAGAGTCGAATGCGACGAGGCGCATCACTTTCAAAGAGGATACCGACCACGCCAACTGCTTCCACGGCACGGGGGTTCTGCCCCCGCCGTTGGGTGCAAGTGGTGCCCTTCGGGCTGCTGCCGCTGACGGTGGCCAACAACAGCTCGGTATCGATCATGCTTCTGCTGCCGATGATGCTGATCCCGTCTGGGATACGGCAAGCTGGGACGACGCTGGCGACGACCCGTGATACGTGTCGCTTCCTGCTGAAGCTGTTGCTGTGCATGTCGGTCCCTAGGGGCGTGTTGACGATGCTGCTGACAGAGGTGCTGCATCTGGTCGCGGTGCCCGTTCAGTCCCTCTGCCCGCTGGTGACCCTCGATCCGCTGTGCAACGGGTGAGTGGTGAAGAAGGCGATGCGCACCTTCATGGGCGCGTGATGCCTGGCGCCCGTTTCCTTCGACATTCTGACTTTCTGCCGCTTCGTGCCTGCAGCAAGGCTCTCTTCGCTCACGTCGACTTCGTCGCCATGATCGACAGCTTCGAGCCGTTCGGCTACATGGTCGCCGACTCCTTCGCCGCGGCGGGGGCTTCCCCTGCCAATGCTTCTGCTGCCCCTTCGGGCGCGGAGGCTGACACAGACTACCAGAACAGCTACGATTATCAATGCAAGTACGATTTCGAAAAGGACGACCATGGCTACCTCGACGCTGCCGACCGCCTGGACACCTTCAGCGTGGACCTGAGAGGCTCGGCGCAGCGGCCGCGCGGCCCTGGGGCGTGAGGATAGACCTTCGCTCAGGGACGCTCGCTCCTCCCCCTTCCCCTCCCCCTTTCCCCTCCTCCTCCTCCTCCTCCTCCTCCTCCTCTTCCTCCTCTTCCTCCTCCTCCTCCTGCACCTCCTCATCTCATTCGTCCAACGCGATCAACCTGAACCTCAACCTCAACCTCATTCTCCTCCCCCCCTGCATCTCCTCATCTCACTCCTCCAACGCGCTCGACCTGAACCTCAACCTTCGACCTCAACCTCAACCTCCTCCTCCTCCTCCTCCTCCTCCTCCTCCTCCTCCTCCTCCTGCGTCTCCTCATCTCACCCCTCCATCGCGTTCAACCAGAACCTTTACCTCCACGTTAACTTTACCTCATCACCAACATCAACCTCCTCCTCCTCCTCCACCTCCTCCTCCTCCTTCGGCGCACGTGCGGGGGCCATCCGCGCGCGCCGTGGCGCCTGCAGGCCCGGCACGGGTTTCCCCTTACTTACCTTGCGCGGGCCGTCCTCTTTCGGTCGGCCCACGTCGCGCGCGTCGCCGGCGCTTCGTTTGAGACCCGGAGACATGAGTGAGGAGGGAAAGAAACATTCAGACACAATTAATCGTCGATTTTCGAGAAAAGATTTGAACATATGGGAAGTGGAAGGGAATACAAAAACCCAGAACATATGGGAACACATTGGGAATCTGTTATATTTTTGTGTATTGGTTTTTGTGTCCTGGGGCCCCGTCAGCTTCGCTTCCGTGACTCGGAAACATGAGGCGTCAATGGGTTTTGTTTGTTGTCGTCGAATCGCATCTGATGTGATTTGATTCGACGTGATTTAATGTCGCAAAGCCTTGTCTTGTCTCATCGTCTCTTGTCTTGTCTCACCTTGTCTTGCATCGTATTGTCTTGTATCATCTTGTTTCATCTTGGGTTGCAGGCCCTGCCTTGTCTCATTTCGTATTGTCTTGTCGTATAGTTTCGACCTTTGCTTCCACATCTCCGGCACCAGGCGTGGTGGCAGCCGCCCCAGGGCGCGGCGCCCCTCCGGGAGCAGTGCCCCGTGGTGGCGCCCGCCCCCGGCGCGCGCGAGAGGAGAGGGGCCGCCGACCTCTGCGCTCGGCGATCGGCGGCCGAGCCCAGGCCTCCGACGCACCGGAGAGGGCACACGCGGGGGGGCAATCGTGCAGGCAGGGCCACGCAGGGAGGGGAGAGGCTCTTATTTCGTGTGGTCCACACATGAGGTTCAGTCGGGCACGTCCCTCTACAGGGGGGATATTCAAAAATAGAAGAAAAATAGTCTGGGGGACTAATCCGTAAGGGCTTCGCCCCCTGCCGCCGGCCTCCTCTCTCGGAGAATGGGCCATGGAAGAGCTAAGTCATGAGGCCTTGGCGCTGTCGTGAAGCAGTATCGAAACTTCATGCGAAGCCGAGTCGCAATCAGCAAAACCAACTGATCACAAGAGGGGTTACCACACCTGGCGATTGGTAAGACGTGTATGGTTTAAGGGCTTGGTTACCACACCTTGCGATGAAAGGGCCGAGGGAGTTCTCGCAGTTTGGGTTACCACGCCTTGCGATGGATGTGCGTGATGGGTTCGAATTTCAGAAATGTGGCAAATCCCTGTGTTTTTGGACCCTGACCCCGCGGATCTGCGTGAGGGGTGGCACCGAATTTCAGAAATGTGGCAAATCCCCTGTGTTTTTGGACCCTGACCCCGCGGATCTGCGTGAGGGGTGGCACCGAATTTCAGAAATGTGGCAAATCCCCTGTGTTTTTGGACCCTGACCCCGCGGATCTGCGTGAGGGGTGGCACCGAATTTCAGAAATGTGGCAAATCCCATGTGTTTTTGGACCCTGACCCCGCGGATCTGCGTGAGGGGTGGCACCGAATTTCAGAAATGTGGCAAATCCCCCATGTTTTTGGACCCTGACCCCGCGGATCTGCGTGAGGGGTGGCACCGGATTTCAGAAATGTGGCAAATCCTTTGTGTTTTTGGACCCTGACCCCGCGGATCTGCGTAAGGGGTGGCACCGAATTTCAGAAATGTGGCAAATCCCCTGTGTTTTTGGACCCTGACCCCGCGGATCTGCGTGAGGGGTGTCGATTTCGAGCCCCCCAGCAATTCAGATAACGCGCCCAGGGGGTGCTAAAAATCCCGTTTGGGCCTCCCCCCCCCTCGGGCGGTCAATCATTTAGTTACAGTAATCAGCAAGAAGTTAACTAGTTACAGTAACCAGCAAGAAGCAGAACTGTAACACTGGAAACTAGAAACTACAACTGGTACAGGAAACTGCGAATCCCGGTCCTACAGCCTGGTGGCCCCACAAGGGGGCCAGCGGATTTTTTAGCATTTTTCTGACATGTTGCAGCATCTTTTTAGTATTTTTCATTTTTCGCCGACAATCCCCCTGTAGGGGGACAGGCCCGACCCAAACATAAGGGGTCACGCTTGGAAGAAGAACAGACGCCATCACCACAAGCTTTTGGCAATCCGCGCGGATTTCTTGGGTCCGCGCGGAGCCCCCCGCGGCGGCGCCTCCGGTGCCGCCTTTGGCGCGCTCCGCCGATCCGCGTGGGGCCCCCCCCGCGGCGGCTCCGGCGCCGCCCCTGGGGCGTTCCGCGCACCAGGGCGCAGATCCAAGAGATCCGCGCGGAGCGCCCAACGTTTATGTGTATGGTGTGTTGTTTCTCTTTTATGATCGCCGGCTGGAGACCGACAGCCCAGTCCCCCCAGGAGCGTGGGGCTTCGTCAATCCAGCCCCGATCGCCGATCCGTCGGCATCGCCGATTCCAGTTCGGTGTATCCCTTCCCGCCCTCCCCAGCTGGTGCCTCCCGTATCGTTCCCCCTCGGGAGGTCCCACGGCCGCAGGGGAAGCAAGGGCTCCCTCGAGGGCGCGAAGTTATTCGCGCTTCGCGGTCCTCGTTCCTTCTCCCCTCCTCCTCGTCCTCCTCTTCTCCCTTTGGGGGGGCGGCGCGAGGGCGCGAAGTTATTCGCGCTTCGCGCTTCGCGGAGCGCGAAGCGCGAAGTTGGGAGCCCTAGGGAAGGGTTTCTCTTTTACGCTGGGGGTATTCGTTGAGGAACGTGCCCTGGAGGCTTCAGACCCTGGATGGGGCCCTTATCTGATGAGGGTGTCAGTGATACCCAATGGCCACTGCACAATTGGAGTTCCATTGGATTCCAGTTTTCAGCTCCTCCTGCTCCTCCTCCTCATCCTGATCCTCCTGGTCCTCCTTCCCCGACCCATCCTCCCCCTCCTCCTCCTCCTCCTCCTCCTCCTCCTCCTCCTCCTCCTCATGCACCTTCTCACTTTATGTTGTCGCCCCGCTCCTCACATCTGTACGACCACCCTTCGGGTGATAAGGAGGTCATGGGGGGGACAGGAAAATTCACTGGCAATATTTGCGATGACTGTGATGGCGATGGGATGGCGACATTGCACGATGACGATCATGGTGAGAGCTAATCATGGTGATTGTGATGAAGGCGACAGCCCGATGGAGCTGACACCACACGCATGCGAGCTCGCATTCGACTCCAATCGACTGATCTCACTATCAGCTGCACTATCGATCGGAATATCGGTCTCACAGTGTATCTCACTTTCGATATCATAATCGACATCTCAACAAATCATACTAAAGATCTCACAGTGGTTGTTGTTCAGTGCGATCGGGTCACTAGCAACATCGGGACGTCATCGGAACATCATCGATCTGACCATCGATATCACAACATAATATCTCGATCGATCTCATTGTCGATTTGGCACCAGATCTCACT